TATTTATTTAGGTAACTTCATAGCTAAAATTTACTAAATCAAATTGTATATTACAATATGCGTATTGTATAATATTATAATTCGCAGCGTGGAGCGCGGCAACGACGGACGATTATAACATTTTAAAATTTCTCTTCGAACACAGTCCGAGTGGCGTAGGTATTTTTAAATGTCCACGTAATAATAGCACTGACCAAATATTATAAACAATATAGATGAATAATTCCAATGAGATGAAACATGGGTGCTTCGTATACAACTCGTTAACGATTCACATTCGTTATCCCAGTTCTTAAATATGGCTCAAAGTTCTCACACGAGTAGACAACTCGTCTTTTGGACACTCGTATAACCGTCACATCGGATTTATAGACGCCCTCTCGTATTCATATAAAATATTTTATAGTTTCATACCAATGCAGGTCCCTACTCCCTTTTGTCTTTTGAGTTGTGCCCTGTTTTACGATGTTGAAATTATATTATACATTTTTATCCCCCCCCCCCCCGATATAATCGTCCATCGCAAGTTTTTACACTCTCCCCACCTACCACCCCCACCGTAGCCAACGTCAATACAATTTAAGTGCATTATAATTTCTGTAGGATGTAAGCATGAACGCATATATTATTATACATTTATACTATTATTATGTAAGCAATGTTTTCCATTATTTATTATTATTACCTTATTCACCTTTGATATACTATATTATATTATATTATGTAATTTTTATTAAACAAATGTTTGATGTTCAATTGTTACTATAATCTTTCAACGAGCAGATTAACAACAAAACTGGAAAAAAAATGAATGAGTAAGAAATATTGTTGTTATACATTTTTTGTAAATACCTAATGTGATTTTTATTTTATATTTTTCTCCATTATTATTCCCGTAAATATTATGAAGAAATTCGCCAAATACTGTTATGATAATGATGTTGAATAATTTTATATTATAATTTAAAAAAAAAAAAGGTGTTATATGTTTGTCTATATACCTATTACAATACCAGATGAAGGTGTAGACCAATGTATGTATTGAGTGTGCTATATTATATTAAAAGTGCCACCAAGATTTTCCTAAAGTATTTATATATATATTATATCTATGCGTCATGTAATATATAACATTAAATTAAAGAATGTTTTGTTTTCATTTAACTTGCCTCATGAGTTCCAATCTTGTTTTCATATATATTACACTTAAGTTGTATAAATAAATAAATAATAATATAAAATTGTTGTCAATAATTAATATTCTGTGTCATAAAATGTTTTCATTAATTAATATAATATAATATTTAATAATAAAAAAATATACTTTTAATATTTGTACAATTATTAAAAGTATAAGTTGCATAAAATTTGTAAAATATAATAATTACTTTGTACTATTGTTACTTTGTACTACTTATTACTATTGTATTATTTACAAATTCCAACTTTTAATTCTACTTTTAAACTTTTAAAATAATTTTCAAAATTATATTATATTTTATTTTTTAATATATAATATGCACATATTCCGATTACCTATATTTAATAATTATTGACAACAATTTTATTTTAAATATTATAATTTTAATTATTTATTTATTTACCTATTTATTTCGTTATACAACTATAATACTATAATAAATATTTAATAATTCTCTATAAGTATAACATAAAGATCTAAAGTTTAAACATACGATTGCAGCGCAGAGGAGTAGTATTTTGCAAACAGACCCTCCTCTGCTGTTGGTTCAAAATGGGGTAAAAAAAGTACATAATATTAATTAATATTCAATTTTTTGTTTTGGTCGAAGAGTAAGTCGGCCGAAAATGAAAGGGTACGATTTTGGTCAAAAAGGGAATCGACCTTTTTTAAATTTGGTCGAAGAGATAACTAAAAGTTATCCAAAAGTAATTGCAAGTACTATTAGCAGTGGCGTTCCCAAGGGGGGGGGGAAGGTTAGGGGTTATATCCCCCCCATTGGCTTTTAGATTCTGAGCGGAGCGATGAATGTATTGGTTTTACAATGATGTATGTTTTTATATTTTTTTTTTTTGTGTCTGTCATCACGTTTTAGGACAGTAAAAGTGCTTGGATTTTCTTCATCAGTAGCTTTCCTGATAGGAAAGTGAATCTAGTTGGTACTTTGGGGGGTCAAAAGTATAAATTTCCCAGTAGTTTTCACAAGCGCCGGGAAAAACAACATAAAAATTAAGGAAAAACGGGAATTTTTACGAAAAATTGGTTTTCCAAAAAATCGATTTTGGTTATTGGTGTAACTCTAAAACAAATGAACGTATATACATGAAATTTTTACTGGTTGTTTATATTTGCATTTTCTATACACGATAACATTTTCAAAATATTTTGATTTATTTTGAACTGTTTAGAAACATTTTCATTTTCCATTTTTTTTTAGTTTTTTTTCTAAATATATTAATAAAATTTTATTTGTTGGTTGCGAAAGCTTGAAAATTTAATAGAAGGCTCCTAATATATTGTTTCAAAGGCAGATGAAAAATATTAAAAATCCTTAATCACAATTTTTTTTTAAAAGCATTTAAAGTTCAAAAATTGACAAAATATGGAAAAATCACGAAAATTAGCAAATTATTTTGAGTTAAGAATTCGTAAAAATTTTTCTTTTTAAATCTAAGATTTTAAAATGAAACACAAGATTCCTTATAAGATTATCTACCTTTATCAATAAAAAAATCTCTACCGGACAGTCAAATTAAATTTTTATGAGCGTTTGAAATTCAAATTTTTACAACATTGGATTTTCACTCGATTACTCATGTAGCGATTTCCTTATTTTGTTGCAATTCAAAAACGAAAAATAGTAGATACATGAAAATTTCACTGAATGTTTAAATTTGCATTTTCTATACACCATACAATTTTGAAAATATTTTGACTCTTTTTGAGCTGTTTATGGACATTGACAGCTTTCAATTTTTTTTAGTTTTTTTTTCTATAAATATCAATAAAGTTTTATCTGTTGGGCCAAAAAGTGTAAAAATGTAATACAAGGCTCCTGATATATTGTTACAATATCAGTTGAAAAATATTAAAAATACATAGGCACAGTTTTTTTTTTATGAGCATTTAAAGATCAAATTTTGACAAAATTTAACAAAATCTCGAAAATTATCAATCATTGTAATTAATAAATTATAAAATGTTCAGTTTTTATAGCTAAGGATTGCAAATTCAACACAAAGGTTCTCGTAAATAGTTCATACTGTAACCAAAAAATCTAAAAAATATATGAACACAGTTATTTTTTACAGACATTTTAAATTCAAATTTGGACGAAATTACATATTAAAAAACCTAGAATAACTATTTTAGTTATTTTGTTGTGATTGATTAATATTATTCGTGGATACTTGAAACTTCTAAAGTGTACTATTATATATCTATGATAGTATCACGGTTTTTGTTGATGTATAACGCGTTATAAGTACCTAATGGATATTTTGATATGATTAATTTTGGAATTTATTATACCTACCTACCTATTATAGGTCAAATTTTGGTTTAGTACCATAGATATGTATAATGTATCTAATATGTCTTATACCTAGACTGACATACTGTCTCCGCTCAGAATCGTTTTTCTTATACAATGATATTATATCGTTGAATTCAAATTTAATATCATCCATTATACAGTGACCCACTTGTAACCTACTGTACAGCAGAGTGACACCCACTTGCCCACCTTTTTTTTTGTTGACCTTCAACTTATTAGATATTACCATAGACATATAAAAATGCTTATTATATATTATATAATTGGATATGGATATTACTTTTAAAATTATCAGTAATAAGTTATTGCTTATAAATTATTGCCCATTGGCTAATATAAACATTCACTATACGGATATAGATCAGTGATTATGTATTCATGTTCATGTGCAATAAATCCTCTAAGTAATAATTAATTATGTTTATGGCACGATTAAAGATATCTTTAATCGTGGTTTATGGTAAGATAGAAGATAGAATGATGGATCATGCTAAGCACGTAGACTAAAAGTATAAGGTCTATGGGTAAATCAGTGGTTACCAATCACTAATCAGATATAAATTATCAGCTACTTCAATGACCAGTTCTTATCTCTCAATAGATCATAATATAATTGTGATATTCTATTAATAGCTAATATTCTATTATTGTTACTTTGTGATATAATACAACAATTCATACTAAACCAATTGCAGTGATAATATACACTATACCTACATACAACATACTTACAAAAATTTTTATTTATTATTTAAGTATTTGACATTTAACAATTTTAAGTTCTTTTATTAATAATGGCAAAACGTGATGGATCGATTATGTCATTTTTTTCAAAGAAACCTAAAGCTGATCAGAAGGTAAGTTGGTATTGAAATATTAAGAATGTAAATAATATTATGAAAAAAAAAAGTTTATAAAGTATTAGGTATACAATTATGTAGTTTAATTTTATATTATGTAATTTAAACAGAAATGTTTAATATAATAGAACAATATTTACCAATGGAAAACCAACAAAATTAAATAAATGCATTATACTTAGTACATTAATTACAAATATGATGTAAGAAACATACTTGTTTATCTTACTTCATTCATACTACATGTACCTATTAAACATTTATCAATATTTAAGAAATCAGGAACAATTAACTATAGACTACTAGAAAAGTATAAATATATATCCTCAAATATGTATTTTTCATATAAGTTAATGTATAAATAAAATAAAAAAAATGATATGAAAACTTAATGATAAAAATAAATTTAGTTACAAGACATAGCTTAAAGATAAAGAAACTATAAACATCATCTTTAAACATAATTTATTGTATAAATCATAAATGTAAATTAATTTCACGGTTAGAAAAAAAAAATTCTTTTTTAATACATAGTATAATGGAGCAGTAAAGATAACGTTATTATGTTTTAATAAGAAAAAAGTATAAATTTAAAAAAAATAAATCAATTAGCTGATGTTGCCACAGATGTATTTGAGCCAGATCTTCGTTTCTTCTTAGGCGGTTGCTCTTCAGCCTCATTTGGTCTTTTATTACCAATGATTTCTTCATCGCTTTCCTATAACAATAATACAACAACATTAAAAATACAATCCTTCATTAATTACTCGACTTAATTAAATTCTACTTACATCTGAATTATTTTGTTTGCTAAAAATATCCTGAACTTTCTGCACATTGAGTCTGAAGTCACGGGTAGCAGTGAGTTTGAGATTGTTTAACAAGTTCGGATCCTATTCATTAAACATGGTTTAATAACACATTGTATTATTATATTTATATAATATAATAAAAACTACAAGTAAAATAATAAAAAAAAAATATATTAGTAAAATAATAACCTTGCACTTTTTCCCCAATTTAGTAATTAGGTTCACGAATAGTTCTAATTCAGTAACTACTCTGGGAATGTAAGAAGCTTGGCGACGAGTCTGATTTTTTAATTGAACAGACTTTTTCTCCTTATCTGTTAATGGTCTATCGTACTGAAATATAAACGTGTAATTTATTATGAAAATTATCGGAGAAATATAAATCAATTAAAAGTATAATACCTCTATGAACATGATAAACTTAGAAACATTCGGTGACAGTTGATCATTGACAATTTCGGACAATTTACCCAATCTAAAAAAGGAAAATTTAACATAATTATACACTGTATAATATTTCAAAAACAAGAGTTTACTCAACAAAGCTTGCTTGTACACCGGTTCGTTTACGGTTGAACGCGATAGGAAATGTTTGGTAACCACATTGATGGTTCGATAGACTTGGTACAATAAATTGAAAACAGACTCTGTACATTGACCCAATGGGATAACTGTTTTCGTTAATGAAGTTGTGGACAAAACCACTAAAACAATACGATGACAAATGGCTTTTTCTCGAGATTTAAGTCGGTCTTGACAAATATTCTTTATTTTTCTTTGTGATGCACTTAACTCAGCCTTGATTCGAGATAAGCATTGCATGACATAGTTTAACTCATTGCACAAGCTTTGACACAAGACAGGACATACCATTGTTCGGTTCCAAGTTGTTATTAATCTCAATGGCTTGATTTGTGATTGGTTGTTTTTATGAGACTATTGAAAGATAACAAAGCAAAACATTTAATTAACAATAAAGAACACACCATAATCAACTATCAAATACGTTTCAGTAATTATATTTAATAAAAGCGGTGCGGTGGTAAAATTTTTTAAAATATACAATATGCTTCAAAGCCTCCACGATTTCGAGCCGCTACTGGTCATAATACATTACCTCTTTCACTATTATATTATGTAAATATACTCTGTCCCACGAGAGAACATGCCGGTTTAGTGCATCCCCCAATGTCACTCTCCTATCAAAACCAGTTGCCCTATGGCAAGGTGTTGCGTGGAGATTCAGTTTTTTTCGGTGTGCGGCACAATCTCTTGTAGGACAGATTATAGGTTATCTGTACTTTTTTTTTGATTTCGTATTTATACTTTGCTTATTATTACTTTACCCTCTTTTTTCTTTGCTATCATAACATTCACTATTTTGGCCTGGACCCATATTTTTTAACTTCTCTCATAGTCAACAAATAATCCTAAATTTAACAATTTACTCACTCTACTTATTCGACCAAATGAATAACACAAATTGTTAATTGTAGTAGCTAACATTATAGGATCTTCTTGGTTTGCCGAATGCATCTCTAGCAAGAGAGTTAAGAATTCTTTGGAGTTGTTTGAATTTGAAAATGAATATTTTTCGGCCACCATAGATAGCCAAGTCAATATCTATAGGAAAGTAACAGTTAAATTATCATGTAATTACGTAAATATTAATTATAATTACATGTTTGACTTTAGAATCCTTATTATTTTTTATACCATGACATACAACAGACACACATCCGATAAGATGAGATTCTATTAGATCGTATGTTTCTTTGTCATCATTATCTTCGGTTTGGTTAGTAACATCATCAATTTGATTCATTTGTAATATTTCGTCTAAATATAATCTCATATTACGCAGCACATTGAATATTTCTCCCGATTCGTCGTTTGAATCATCTTTGTCTAATAATTGATAATATAATCATAAATTATTTTTAAAAAACACATATTAGCAAAATTTGTATATACTTACTGGAGTCAGAAAAAAATTTATCCAAATTTTTATAATACGAATTTACAAGTTTTATTGTTTGTAAATAACAATCCAATCCCAATTCAAGAACCGTTTGACTGAATTTAATTTTTTCACGAACATCAAATAGAAAATAGTCGTAAAGCAATCTATTAACATTAGTATGATAAACAATAGATAATATATGCACAAATAATATGAAAGCTAAAATTCTTACTTTGTCAATTTACATATATTTTCATACAAATTACGAGGTTTTATATCACGCGAAAGCAAATTCTTCACTTCCATCAAATGTGTTTGTACTAGTTTTAACACAAATTCCCATAGTCTTACGTTTTGTTTTAATGATACAACATTAAGTTCAGACGTCCAATTAACATTTTTACTAAAACATTAAATTTAAAACTGTTTCTAACCTCGAAGAAAATTGTAATTGAGAAATATAAAGTAAGTCTTACGCAAGTAATGAAAGAAACTTATACAGTACATCAAAATCTAAATGAATTGCAGGTTCAACAAATTTAGTGGTTGTTCCAGTTGATTCAGCTTTATTTTTTTTATTTCCTTTATCCTTCTTCTTATTAGTTTTATCCGATGCCTAGAACAGTAGAACATGAATGACATTTCCTTCAAACAGGAATAACAAAGTTACCATAACAGCTTCTAAAATATTATTATATTTAGAAAATAACTTTTGAAGTTTTTCACAGCATTCTTTATCTTGGTCAGAATTAAACCATGAATTTACTATATAGACCATAAATGCCTGGTAAACACACAGAATTTGTTTGATGACATCCACATTCTCTGTTGTATCACTAATTATATCTAGTAAACAATCGCTTTCGTTCTAAAACAATCAAATAAAACCTGCAATATTGTATTTGAACTAACAAAACACGGATCTTACTGACCACTTTTATTTCATCTGTATTACATTCACTGTAGAAATTTACCAGTTGACAGAGTAACTGTTTCAATTCATCAATTTTTGCATATTCTTTATTATCATTAAGCTGCATATTTGTAACCAGTAGGTGTTGAGCCAGTAAAATCAACTCGTCTAACGGCTCCTAAAAATAATGCATAATATAATTTAAAAACATAAAAAATTGAGATTAACTCACATGCACGATAGGTTTATTATCTTTTCCTGTGACTATGGACTTGTCAAATTTTAATGATTTTTTGTTTTCCGCTACTACAAGTCTGTTACACCATAAACTCATGTGGTCCAATAGCAAACTATTGACACAAACACATAATTCATTATTGTGTGAAGTCACTCTAATCAATCCTCTATAAAGTGATTGTTTGATTTCCGATTTTTGGTAAAAACATGTTTTAAGTGAATCCAAAATTTCTAAACAAATTGTTTTATTATTTTCTGAACTATCTTCACAATCAAGAGCTGAATGAATATCCACAGAATCTCGATCAAGAACCATCTGTAATCATAAATATTTGTCAAAATATCAGTTTTATGTAGTTAAGTACATAGTACATATGTATAACCAATTTTATTAGTGTGACATGTGTTCTCGTCTTGGGAATAAGTGCAGGGATTATTATTTTTTTTATTAATTTTTAACAATCAAAAAGTAATTTGAGTTTTCCTTAGTCATTTTTTTGAATGAAACAAACTAATGTCAAAAAAATTAAAGCTTAACAAAAGCGTTTAAAACAGTTAATCATAGAAAGCTTATTAAAATGAAGAACACTTCGTAGTTGAACCCATTTAAAAATTTTAGATGTTATAGTATTTTTGTCACGCCTGCACTGAAAGTTTAGTTTTCGATGACGGTTTAAGAGTTTGAAAACTAACATTTTCCGTCCAGAGGGCGGTAAGGTGGGAATCCCCATAGTGTCGAACGGTAAAATGGAAATCCTCAAAACTACTTGGCGCATATATCATGTGTATCCTCTGCACAACTAGACACTAAAATCTATACAACGGTCCTCACAAAACATAAACTTTTGTTTACATCTTATATTCATATTTTAACCTCCTTGCATGACGTATAAACATTTTTCTTTCATGAAATTGTTTTCGTATAATAATTTGGTTGTTGCATAGATCCTAGCCTCCATTACATTTGCCGTGATGGCGTAAACAATGTATAATTCACAATATTACAATTCTGCCAATAGACGTTATTCAAACTGTATATTTATTATTATTTATCTCCGTATCTGGTTTTATATCAGTTTAGCATTTAAGCATGAGAGGGTCTCATAGAAAATGATATAAAACCTCTAGGAATACAACAAAACAAAATAATCAGAATTTTTCTAAATTAGCATAGCCTTGAAGGTTTTTCAAAACAGAATTATATAGAATTTAGAGTGTTGCCAGTCAAACTTGTGAATAAAAAAATTTCAATTTTATGAGTGGTAATAAATATTCATACATAGTATAATAAAGATCAAATAAGAGATAGATAAATCTTTTAAATTTAATTCTGTTACAAAAATCTAATTTGATTTTTCGATTTAATAAAAAAAAATGATTCACACTTCTAAGGTTAAAATTATGGGAGGGTGTTTCCTAATAAATTATTGTTAGGAAATTAACTGTAACAAAACAAAAATTTTTCAGAATAAACTTCAATATAATATATTTATAAGTATTAATTATTTTTGATGTAAATAAAATATAGGCAAGTTCTCCTAGTTGCACTATAAGTCAAACAACCCATAAAAAGAAACCCAGTTCTTTGATTTAAGTTTTAGTTTGGATTAGTTTGATTTTATATTTTTATTCATGTCAGGAGCTTACAACAAGTACAATAATAAATAATAATGTCACTCTCAAGTTACCTGAGTAAATAATCCAGGCCATGAATCCTGGCTGTTTGTATTCTGACTTAATGTAGTGAAACTGTCCAAATGAACACTACATAATATTTCAATGAATCCCAAAACTGCACAATGTCTTAACTGATATTCTCTAGAAATAAGTTTTGATGTGCAGATTGACTTATTATGTTGGGATATCATTAAAATATACTATAATAATAAAAATTAGGGTTTGGGACTTTTGCATTTCCATGTATTTTTGTAGTGGTCGTAGATTATTCTAGGTCAGTTATACATTTGTTTTATGAAATGGCAAAATTAAATACAATTTAGCATATTTTGAACTTTTTTAAATTTATATGTGCCTTTAATCATTAGGAAAAATAATTTTTGGATAACACTCAAAAATATTGAGTTTAGGTAGGCGTATACAGGCGCATATAGAATTTGAGATTTGGGGAGGTTGAAGCCAAAAGTTCTATTATTATATTGAGTTATGAGCCAGCATTTTTGAAAGTTAAGTTGTTTTGTTTCACAATGTTTAAAAATGCATAAAACATGGAATAGAGCTAATATATATTCAAATTTCAATTAGTAAACCCGTGTATAAATTATTTTTATTATGTTTACCAACTTATTTTTTAGTTTCTAACAAAAATGTTAATAGTTTTCATGCATTTTTCAAAAATAATATAACAATTTAGCTGCATATATTTAAGAATATTCTGATAATTTTGAATGCATATTTCGATAATTTTTAGTGCAACAAGTCCCACACCTAATAATAATCTTTATTAAAGTAGTAATTCTAATTTACATAGTAATTAATAAAATTACTATATTATAAACTACTACTAACTACTTCTATAACAATATTATAATATTTAAACAAGTTGAAGTAATTAGTTGGTAAAAAATAATTAATTATTTAATATACAGGTACAAAATATAAATAATAGAGAAATTAAGCCTGATAAACTAACAGTGTATTTATTAATAATAATAATAATCTGTATTAATAAAAAAAATAAAACTCCATTTCCATACTGAATAATAGTATCACTAAACTTTTCGATCAAAAAAGTTTCAACTCTTATGAAAATATGAAAATTACATAAAGCAAAATTAAAATTCATCCTTTACTGAAAGTCTGATTATAATTTTGAAAAAATATTTGAATTCTATATTCTCCTTTTGGTAGGAAATAGATTTTTGATTTTATGTGCCAATTGTTTACTAAGTTTAGTATCAAATAAATTTAATTTTTTTTCAAAATGCACTTTTACTAGTGTTGCCAAAAAAAAAATTGATTTCCTACAAGAAACAGACAAGCAGAGAACAAATTCAAATATTTATGAATTTAAAATTAGACTTCTGGGAGTAGATTTTTTTTCTTTTGCTTTTGGTCTAAATTCATGGAAAAATGAAAAAGTTTCAATTGACTTAAGAAAGACTTCTTACTATAAGAAATAATTTAAAATATCCCCTAAAATTCTATTATAGCCCAAATATAGTTCCCTTTCTATCTGACATTTAAAATGAAGTATCATAAAACGTTATTCTAGATCCATTTTAAGTATGAGAATACAAAATTGTTAGAAGACAATGTGTGAATTGAGGTTTTACTTATTTAACGACAAATAAACAATTATAATGCAAAGTATGTATCAAATAAATAAATAATATATACGCCATAAAATAAACCTACTTTGATATGAGTTCTTTTCGTAAAATCATGATGATATTATCACGCAAATATGTTGATGTCTTTAGGACGGGCATAACTGCACTAGTTACTTTATCAGTCATGCCGATTGGTATTTCTTTAAACAACTTCAATATTTCAGTATTATTCTCGACAACGTGTAACTTTTGGTTCTTACAAAGTTTATGCAAACACTCTAAGACATAAAATACAAATATAATTAAAAATTTCAAAATATGTAGAATGTGTACAGTAAAAATCATATTATTTTCTATGTACCTACCTAAATATTGATTAGATTCAGGGTTAGATGTAATAAAATTGGTCAATTTTCGTAAGACACTACCAGTGATAAATGATCGCTTGTGAACTAATGATACTATTATGAACAAACCAAGCTGATGAACTGTGTTTATGATCTCAGCGTTTTCTGTAAAAATAAAATACAGTAATTAAATATTAATACTGATACGTAAATGAACAAATTAAAAATATGATTTAGGTAATAACTTACTTTTGAATACAGAAGAAGTAGTTCCAAGAAATGATAAACCCAAATTGACAAGACCTTTGAATATTTTTTCGTAACTTGATATTCTAAATAAAAAAAACAGTTATTATTAAATTGTAATAATAGAAAAATAAAAGGAGATTTTAAGAACATACTCGCTTTTTATAAACACTTGAAATTGTGTGTAAACATCATATATATCTGTGTAATGAAGTTTTAACCAATATGAACGTTGAGTATTTTCTAGTTCTACCAATGACTGCACTACAAGCTTTTTTATCAAATCAATAACCTAAAACCAATGTATGTACGAATGTCATCTATTTAAATAAATAAGTGTAGAAATATATTAATCATCTTACATTAGCTTCAAAAGGTGCACAGCAAGACATGGTTAATAAAAATGCTAACATGAATGGACCGAAAACCATGTTAGGAGCACCAATACTATTTTTTATGTACTTAGTTATATCATTAACAAATGAAGAATGCACCTTAGCAAAGTCTTCCAAGAGAAATAATACTGTACTTTCAGCTTCTAAAAATTCTTTTTTCTCAGATCCTTCTAAAAATCCAATATAATATTAAATAATAAGTATACAATATTTGGAAATCGATATAAATATACAAACTATATCAATGATGACAGTTGATATGACGTAATGCAGGCATTTGTTGTCTCTGTCTTACAAGTGCATAATATACCTATATAACTTACGCTCAGCAGCCCACATTTAGATCCTTTAGTTTAAAAATTAGAGTGAACGACCTCTTATAAACTTGTTAGTAAGAACATTGTCAGTGTTTGAATGTGATTTTTTTTCCAATAATTCAGATTGTATGTGAGTTATGAGTATTATTAATTTAAGGTACATTATAGTATACTTACTCAAAACTTGCTAAAAAATTGAACTATCGTTGAAAACTTACATACAAACACAGATAATGTTCTTACCATCAAGTTTCATAAAAGGTGAATTCACTCTAATTGTTAAACTAACGAACCTAACCTGCTGAGTGTAAATTTGCTATGTTATGGACTTGTAAAACGGAGACAACTAATTCCTGTATTACGTCCTCTTAATAAATATAGACCGTACCTATTTCAAGTGCATAGTTTTCGTCGTTACTTTGGTCTAAATGGTACTTATCATCAAAATATTTTTGAAGTGTACAAAAAAGAGTTAAAAAATCTCCACTTGAACAAAAATGTAATATTTGTTGTAGAATAGGTGGGATTTCTAGAGGTTTCATTTGACCGAAGTATGAGCATAATGTTTTGATAACTAGTTCATGTTCTTTCTCAGTTAATAGTGTTCCTCTATAATTTAATTAATCATAGTTTAATAGAAAATATGTCTATATACTGTATTCCAAATAAGATCAGGCTTCGGCGGCGACCAGTTTTCGTTCCGCGACGGACAGACGTCGTCCCCACTACAGCGGCGCAGCAGACGCTGCCACAGAAACAAAGCCACGCCCATGTGCACAACTCAAAGCCTATCTTATATGGAATAGAGTATAGATATATTATATATGTGTGTGTGTGTGTGTGTGTGTGTGTGTGTGTGTGTGTGTGTGTGTGTGTGTATGTGTATGATTTAACCAAAAAGAAAATACCTAAACATCAGTGCAAGTGCTACTGAGATGTTGGGCTGAACTTTAAAACGACAAATGTCAGTAATGATCATTTCTTTGTAGTCAGCACCTGTCATTTCAAAATCTTCAGTTCTTATTAGTTTGATTTCGGATACTATTTTTAAAATATGAGGGAACAATTCTTTCCAGCTGAAATTAAAATAACATGTCAAATAAAAAAGTATAAAAAGTAAAAATAAAAAGTCCAATAATACAAATGTTATTACCTCTGAACACAGTTTTCATTTGATTCTTCTATGTCTTTTTTACACATATTTATAAATTTGATAAGTTGTTTGGTTGATAGCTTATTTAATTCTAATGATAAACGGCTAATCAAACACACTTTCATTTTTTCTGGTATTTCAGCATTATTGATTGCGTTTAATACATATTCGTAAACCTATAAAAAATTATAGTTATATATTAAGTACAAAATATGTTAAATATCAATTTATTCATAAACATAAAATAGTAATGGTTTGATATGTTACCAGCTACTCTTTTTTGTAGGTATACATGATACATTATTTATTAAGATCTTATAGTAGGTAGGTACATTAAAATACAAATGTGCATAAAGGTACATACGTTTTCGACAATTTTTTGGGAATCAGGTTTAACAGAAAGTCCAACTAATATATACTCCAATACTTTTGGTCCATCTTCACGATCAATCTTTTCATCTATTAATGAATGTATCTGTAACATATACATAACTACAAAATAATGTTTGACTGAAGGATATTAATAATAAATAATAACAAGATGATGAATTAGTAGTCTGACTATCTACCGGCATTTATATTGTTTTTATTAGATTTCAACATAGGTATTCATTACCTATATATTACAGATATTTCTTGTTAACTTGATAGTTTTTATTCTACCACACTACCAGCAGTGTTTGTTGGTTGCTAATTTTTGTCATTAAGATTACTATAGGTATATAGTGAAAAATATAATTTCTTACTATTTTGTTAGTTACGATACATTATTCAGATTCATTTGATATTATAGTACCTTATAATATTATGTAAGTGATAATGCATATAAACTAGATTAAGTTATTTGAAAAGGAAAGGGTACGATTTTGGTGGAAAAGGGTCTCGCCCACCTCACCATAATCCTAAGGTCATTTAATGAATGTATATTTTCAATTTCAAATCATGGATGTAATCTTTAATTGTCAGTTGAGATATTTTGCATAACATGCTGTCTCCTGGGCATGTTATATTATTGTATAGGCATAATAAACCTATAATCGACAGTGGATTGTGATAAAATAAAAAATAATAACTCTATGTACTAACGGTGTCCAAGTCAAGCTCTTGGGTGACGAACGTTTGAAACTGTTCAAAATCTTCGCTGCTGTTCAACCTGTTGTTTGCAAGTTCCACTAGACTTTTGATTTTCTCGACACTCATCTTTTAAGCTGCCACACGACCTACTGATCACGAGGCGCTTGCCTCGAAGGGTTGTTTTGTTCCGGAGGAATCTGGAAGACGCAATTTTTGGTCGACGTCGTAAAATTGTTTCGATACAATCGGTTGTTGTAAATTGTAATAGTCGGCCAAAGGTGTTATTGTGTATTGTGTATTGTATACTGTATTGTGTACTATGTAAATCGGAGGGAAATTTCGAATGATAAAAATTACGTTATCATTTTTTGTATACAATTCGAGGTGTTATCATAGACGGAGTCATCATTCGATTATACGACGTGTTTTATGCACGAAGGTATATCTTAATTCGTGGTTTTATGGGCACGGACTTTCTTAAACCTTGGTTCGTGGATATGGGTGTAATGAATTGCGGAATAAAAATACCCGGGAAAAAAAATCTCCAGACTATAATATTACTCACAACCACATGAAAATGGTTGAACAAATATTTTTCTAACGTTAATTAGTACCAATAATTACCACATAATAAATATTCAAAAAAATTATATTTTGTTTTAAACTAATTGTTCAAAATTATTTATAGTACCTATTATATGTATATTATATTAATTTTTTTAATGATATAATAGAGTATATTATAATATATTAATGTATTTGTAATTAAATATTAATAATGTAATAATTATAGATACTAATTAACGTAAAAAAATATTTGTTCAACCATTTGCAAGTAGTCGTGAGTAATATTGTAGTCTGGGGATTTTTTTCCTAGGTTAGGGGATTTTTTTTCCGTGATCGTTCGTCGGGGGATTTAGTTTACCGGGGATTTTTTTTCCCGGGGATTTTTAATTCGATTATAGGGTATAGTACTATATTATATGAGTAGGTAGTTGAGTATTTTTTTTCTAGTATGGATAAGAATATGGGTTATGAGTATACTATTAATTATTATAGTTTAGGGTCTCCGAAATCGAGTAAAATGTTCAAAATCAATAATTATTTTTAAATCGACAAATGAAAACGAAAATTATTAAAATAGGTATCTACACAAATATAAATATTATCTGCAAAACATAATTCAATAAAACACTTCCAATCATACTTCACAATCTAGTACTAAATTAAAACAACAATTTATTGATTCTAAATATTTCTAATACAAATATTTCGTGATAATTGCATGTACTAATAAATTATAATGTACTCATGTGGGTACGGTTGTCGGTTACCTATTCGTTTTTGAATTACGACAAAATAAAAAAATCAATTTTGTAGATTTTGTATTATTATTTATTTATTTTTTTCTTAATTACTTAGTATGGTATTAGGAATATTTTATTTTTACCTCCCAAAAATACCATCTAGATTCATTTTCCTACCTTAACATACTTATACCTAGAAGTCAAAAATCAACATCTGTTGTCTCCGTCTTACAAGTGCGTAAGGGGGTAGGAGCTGGTCGAATTTATCTGTCGAAATCAGGACAGTCATTGGTCATCATAATACCTATAACTAGGTTTTTATTATTTTCATTAAATTGATTTTATTTAATCAAAATTAGTTAATTAATATTAAAATTTATATTATGTCGGCTGTTACAGTTTACAATGAACTAGATTTAAATTACTTGTTGAAATAATAATCATTGTATTCGTTAATGTGTTTTCACTTCAATAAAAAATACCTACAAAATGGTAATGCAGAATACTTTTAAAATGTCTTAAATATTCAAAATTTTATTAAAATTGTTCGGTTTAAAAATACAATTCAATTAAAATGAATTATGATTTATGCCTTATGAGTTATGACTATACAGCCATATAGGTGTGATGATTGTAGATTTGTACATAATAGGTATATTATCCCAAGCAGTAGCGGACTTCCCGGTGTGCCACTATTCTATAGCACAGTGGGCCGGTACCAGATTGTAGGTGTTGGGCCGCTACTATGGCTAGCAAATATATATTTTTTATTATGTAATTTCGTCCAAATTTGAACTTAAAATGACTATAAAAATAAACTGTGCTTCTGTATTTTTTAGATTTTTTGGTAACAGGCAGGGGCGTATTTATGGGGGAGGCTGGGTGGGCTGCAGCCCCCCCTGAAATTTCAAGAAAATCCAAAAAATATGAATGTCAATAAAACTTTATTTGTTGGGTAAAAAAGCTTGAAAATTTAATACAAGGCTCCTGCTATATTGTTACAATAGCAGTTGAAAAATATTAAAAATCCTTAGTCATAGTTTTTTTATAAGCATTTAAAGTTCGAATCTTGACAAAATACGGAAAAATCACATAACTTAAAATTTTGCTGAATGTTTTCATTTTTTATACACCAAAAAAATTTGCAAATATTTTGCCTCTTTTTGAGCTATTTACGGACATTGACAGTTTTCATTTTTCTTAGTTTTTTTTCTATGAATATCAATAAAAATTTTTTTGTTTGGTAAAAAGCGTGAAAATTTATCATATGCTCCTGATATATTGTAACAATATTAGTTGAAAAATATTAAAAATACATAGGCACAATTTTTTCTTATAATCATTTAAAGTTCGAATTTTGACAAAATTTATCAAATTTAAAATATAATAAATATTTTGTAATTAAAAATTTATAAAATGTTCAACTTTCATAGTTAAGGATTAAAAATTTAAAACAATGGTCCACGTAAATAGGTAAATATATAAATTACTTTATTCACAATAATATATCATCAAATATACTTAGTAATATCATAGGCTGACTGACCGTTTTAGCTTAGAATCGTTTTTCTTATACAATGATATTATATCATTGAATTCAAATTTTACACCATCCATTACAGTGACCCACTTGTTACCTACTGTACAGCAGAGCGACATCCATTTACCCACTTTTTGTTTATTGTGTGACTATGTTGATAATTTTGTTCAGCCCCTCCCGAAATAAAATTCTGGATACGCGCCTGGTAACAGGTACTACATACCTACGTAGAATCTTGTTTTAAATTTTCAATCCTTAGATATAAAAGTTGAACAATTTATACATTTTTAAATACAAAATAATTATTCAATTTTAAATTTGATAAATTTTGTCAAAATTCGATCTTTAAATGCTTATAAAAAAATAAAAATTAATAAAAAAAACACACATCATTGTAAAATCAATATACATTCATATTTCCGCTTAGAATCTAATATTTTAAGTAATGTAATTTCATTACTTTTTAAAAGTAATTTACCCAATACTGCTCAGTGCTCATACTCATATGGGTACTTAATACTTGACAAGCCTACTATAAGTATTGAACGTTTCGTACCTACCTATAACTACCGTTAATAGATGTAGTAGACAGGGTCTGATTTAGGCATTTTGTGGCCTTAGGAAAAATAAAAAAAACGTGGCCCCTTGCCAATAATAGCATTTATAGCCCAACCCCCCTCTACAAACGAGTTGTGTGAAACAAAATAATAATTTATATAAATTTAGTGTTTACTTATACATTTTCACAAATATAATTATAATGTTATACATTTTTTATCTCTAGAGGCTGCAGATTTCTTTTACCTATTATTTATTATTGATATTGAAGACAAAATTAAACATTACTTTTTACATTTTGAGTGGAACGATGAATGTATTGATTTTACAATGATGTGTGTTTTTTATTTTTTTTTTTTTTTTTGTGTCTGTCATCACCTTTTAGGACAGTAAACATGCTTGGATTTTCTTCAACAGTATCTTTTCTGATAGGAAAGTGAATCTAGTTGGTACCTTGGGGGGTCAAAAGTAAAAATTTTTCAGTAGTTTTCAAAAGCGCCATGAAAAACAATAGAAAATTAAGGAAAAACGGGAATTTTTAAGATAAATCAATTTTACACAAAATCGATTTTGGTTTTTGTTGTTCCTCTAAAACAAATGAACCTATATACATGAAAATTTCACTGGTTGTTTATATTTCCATTTTCTATACATGATAAAATTTTAAAAATATTTTGAGTTATTTTGAGCTCTTTACGGACATTTTTAGTTCCATTTTTTTATTTTTTTTTTTATATAAATATCAATACAATTTTATTTGTTGGGTAAAAAAGCTTAAAAATTTAATAGAAGGCTAATAATATTGTTTCAAAGACAGATGAAAAATATTAATAATCCTTAGTCACAGTTTTTTTTATAAGCATTTTAAAATACTATGCAATACAAAAATAGTAATACTTAATTGTATATTATAACATTGTATATAATAAAAATGTATAGCACTATAAAAATAAAGCAATTAACAGTAGTGTAGCTGTTTGTTCGCCGCGCCGCACCTACTTTTCTATCGCGGTTTGCGGCAACGACTTGCGGTGTGTTGAGACGTGAAAAGGTTACCCAAGTATAAAAAATGATAAATTCCAAATGCGAGTACAAATGCGCTAGGCGCTTAATAATTATTATAGATAACAACAACCTAGGTACATAAAACAGGAATATATAACATAGGTACTAACAGACAGGGCGCCCCAAAACATAACAATATAGGTACTTAAAACAATTACAACGTCGGTCCGTCGTCGGTGAGAGGTCCAGTTGATGGATGGGCAACACAATGAACTGAATGGACAGCAACAAGCCAGCTGCGGCACGCAATGATCGGCAACAAGCCAGTGGCGGCACGCAAAGATATAAGCCGGCGGCACGAAATGAACGGCACAAAGCCAGTGGCGGCACGCAATAATCGGCAACAAGCCAGTGGCGGCACGCAGATATAAGCGGCGGCACGAAATGAACGGCGACAAGCCAGTGGCGGCACGAAAAGATATAACGGCACAGACCACGAGGTTTAATAACGCGACGACTACATGTGGTTTGGTCGCCAAAACCCAGCGAAACGCGGCGAGCGAACGCAACGATGCGTCGGGCTCGACCGCCTGGAAAAGACACACGAACTAGGAGGCGGCACAGCCTACGGTGGCGAACGGCCCGGCGCTGGACGGCCATGGAGGGGGTAAGCCACCTCGTGAGCTTCGGCATCCGAAGCGCAGCTTTGGGGACAT